AAAATGACACACCTACACTAGGAGAAGTTTCAGGGCCATGTAAGATTGTGTTTATTGCTTTATAAGGATTACAATGTGATTGCAGGCAATAAAAACTCAAAGTTATTTTCAAACCTACCCCTGTTAAGAACCAGTCAGCAAGCTTCTGGGCTGCAACACGGGCCTGAAGCACAGCGCCAGCATATAGAACCACAACCCGCGCAGCCGCAGATAGTCTCCTTCCTCATCAGCCCTGCTGAGCCAAGTCCAATCTTTGTAAAACAGTTTCCTACAAAAAAGGGCCCAGTGTAGACCCGAAAATACTACCATCCTGGTTATGAGAGACCCCATAGCCCTTTTAGGAAAGCCCCCCATATCAAACCCCTGGATGTCCCGCATGAACCTGGAAGCCCTAAGCCCCCATCCCTGCCAAAGGAGCCTCAAGAACTGCTAAGGTTAAGGGATTAGGGCTTAGGCACTTAGGGTTTAGGGTTTAGGGCTTAGGGTTTAGGGTAGGGCTTAAGTACACCCTAGTGCTAACACGGATTAATGGTAGTATTCCTTATCAATGGTTAGGGAGGTTTTTAAGAAAAGTGCGGGGGAGAGAGATCATAACCCTGCATGCATCTAATGCAAACATCTAAATCCCACATTGGAAACCTGTACCCTTTGCCTACTCTAGGTCCTAAGCTCTGCTGCTTCGCAAGGGTGAATTTGCTGGGCCCTATACAAATTCACTTTTCCAGGCTTCGTAGAGATCACATCAGGACGAAGGGTTATGCAAAACAAAATCATGTTCAAACCTACCGCAGAAATGGGGCTCTCCTGAACTTCCAAAGCTGGTATCTTTGTCCGCCGCGTGACGCGGTGAGCTGTGCTTCCGCTTCTCGCGACTGCGTCTGCCTTAGGCGGATATTTTTGAGCGCAAGGGTTGCAACAGGGTTGGAGGGACTTTGGGCGTGAGCGACAGAAAACTGCGTTCTCGAAAGCTTTTAAACTCTAAACCCTAAAACCTAAACTGCCCCTGCAGTCAGACAATCTCCTTCCATCTTCTACAAACCTGTGAAAATGTAGACCCGTCATTGATAAACCCAACTATGAGGCCGTTTAGTAATGACGCCAAACGAGGGGGGGGTAGTAATGAAGCAAGGCCGGGGGCAGCAATATTCCGCAAAGGTCGTTATTACTACACGGTCTTCATCTTTTTAAGGGCCTTAATATCAGGATCCTTGTTGTATATCCTATTAAGGGGAGGGGGGTATTAACCATCCGTCTACACTAGCCCGATCTAGACCCCGTTTTCGCTTGTGATTATTGCACCACGACCCCTTGCCGCTTCTGCTGCTCATGCTCCTTGTGTGCTTCTAGTGTTGCTGTTCGAATTCCCGTGAGCACGTATTACTGCTATCATCTAACTACCGCCGTGCTAACGCTGCCATTACTCATTACAACCCCACACCCTAAACCTTCATCCTCACCCCGGACCCTAGCCCCACGCATTGCACTTTAACCTCTAGGTTGGCCCCTAAAACCTATTGAAAAATATTAGTATACATGGTCCCCTATTAAAGCCATTAGGGATAAATATCCCAGGGGCCTACCCAGACCTTAAGCCCTGAACCCCGACCCCAAACCAGAGCTCTGCTGATGCCGCTGCGGCACAGCTGCTTCAGCCGCGGCTCGACACCTTGGGCTTAGGGGTTTAGGGTTTAAAGGGAATATAGGGGTTATAGAGGGGTATATAGGGATATACAAGGTTTAGGGTTTCCCAAAATTTGGGTCTAAGATTTGGGTCTGGAGTTAAGTTTAGGGTTTGGTGATACGGTTTGGGGTGTCGGGTTCCAGCAGTGTGAACGCCTGGTGCATTGGGGGCTTTGGTAGGTCGAGGGTTTGGGTTTGAGGGACAAGCCTTGGAGCTCAGGCTTTTGGTTCGGGGGTCAGATTTCTGGCGAAGGAATTTACAGGAAGAAATAGGTTACAACAAAATGCCATGAAGCCTGAACCCTATGAGCCACCAAAACCGGTCTAGGCAAACAGTAATCACTTTTCCCGCGCAGGCTTGGTAGGACATTGTGTTGGGACAAACGCCACACCTCTCCAACCCTGGTAATCCTCTGACCGCAGGGCAACCCACACTTTTACATGGCTCCACTACACAGTTTTGTTTCACTACCTGCACTGCAGCCAGTACTAGTGCCAGTACTAGTACTAGCAGTAGTAGCAGTAGTAGTAGCAGTAGTAGTAGTAGTAATAATAGTAGTAGTAGTAGTAGTAGTGATAGTGATAGTGATAGTGAAAGCTAAAGTGAGAGTTAGAGTAAGAGAGTAAGAGAGTAAGAGAGTAAGAGAGTAAGAGAGTAAGAGAGTAAGAGAGTAAGAGAGTAAGAGTAAGAGTAGTACTCAGAAAAGGTCTGCCTTCACAACTGCACTCACTATTCAAAGCTCGGCCACTCGCACGCTCGAAACGTTCCACCAGGGAGCCTAGAATCCGTGAATGCTGCAGATTTGGGAGCTCGATCCTGTGAACTCTTTGAAAAAACCCTAAACACTGGACCCTAAATCCAAATTTGGTGGGGGCCCAAGAATAAGGATTACAGCATGATTTGGAAAACTAGAGTTGGGCATGGACTACTTGAGGCCCCGGTTTGGAGGCTTGTTAGACTCAGGGTTTAGATTGAGGGAGGATGCATAGCCCTGCAAAGCTGGCTGTTAAAGTAGCTTCCAAGATGGAGAAGGTTGGGCTTCTGCAGTATGTACTCACTGTTTAACATAGTTTCTCCTGTTCCATACTAACCCTAAACCCCAGAAATACTGCACGCAAGTTGAGCCACCATTTTGTAAAGTAAGGGGGTCGCTTTCAGGTCATCATGATTTGGCCAGCTCTAAACGCCGCACCTGCAAACAAAACAACTGTCAGGTGCCAGTCGGAGTGGGGAACTCCGAGGAAGTCTCAACCATAAACCCTCAACTCCAAACGCTCAATCCGAAGCCCTAAACTCTCGGCCCTCAGTCGTACGCTCCAATCCTAGAACCCCGAACTACCTTCAAGTCTGGGCCCTATACCCTCAAACCCAAAAGCCAAAACCCAAAACCCTAAATCCTAATCCCTAAACCCTAAACCCTAAGCTGGGTGGCGGTAGTGCTCCTCCTTGGCATCCGTCAGCGCCCGGAGGCAGCGCCCTGACCACCATCAGCTTGGTCCAGTTCAACCATCTTGGAAACCCTAAAGGGTTTAGGGTTTGGTTTAGGGTTTAGGGTTTAGGGTTTGGAAACCCTAAACCCTACAGTCCCCCTTAAGTAGATAGAATATGGCTTTGGGGTATATTATAATAAGGTCCCGATATACCCTATTTTCTATCTACTTAAGGGGGACTATAATCCCTAAACCCTAAATACCCCTATATATGACCCCTATATATCCCCCTTTAAACCCCTTTAAAAGGTACCCCTACTTTTGGGAAACCCTATTGCTTGAACCCTTTGTTTGGGATTTCGGGTTTAGGGGTCGCTTCGAAGGGATGATGTAGGCTTGCATTGTGTTATTGCTTGTTGTATGAGAGACCACAGGATATGTCCTGGCTATGAAATGGGTTCTGCCCTGCAAGGTTCGACATTCTTGTGAAGCGGCTTGGGGCTTCTAGTGTCTAGGGTTTAGGGGTTTAGGGTTTAGGATTTTGAGGTATGGGGTCTAGGTCTAATATCTAGGCTTCAGACTCAGGATTGTACGGCCTTAGGCATAGTGCGGGACAGTTGTGGCTTGAAAGTTTACATACGTTACATGGGGCTTGATGCGTGGGGGTTCTTTGTATTCAGGGTTCGCGTAATATATGCGTATGTCTACCCATCCCTTCATGAGTATACTGATCCAAAACACTTGGAACAAGGCGTTCAGGCACATTTGAAATATACTATGCTACAACTTGGGACTATGAGGTAAACTCATCCCTGCAACAAAGGCATTTCAGTTACCCCTACCCCTATAATCAGAACCCTATAACTATCATATGACTATAGCAGTCCCCTGACTTCAAGGGTTAACTAACATCCCCTTTACTACCCTAGTGAACTGGGTTGCTGTTAAGGAACTTAAATTAAGTTACCATAATGGGTATACGGTATATATAGTAAATAATAGGGTGTCCCCAATATANNCCTTAACAGCAACCCAGTAAAATGTACCTCTCTTGAATCACACCCGCGCTTCGCAGGTTCTGTTGGAGGCAGCAAGAAATTTCGATGAGTAAGAAAGGACAACCTTAAGATTCTGTGACCAACATGTTGCCGCCATTGAAGGTAGGCATATTGGGAATGCTGATAAGCATGAGACAGTTTAGACTAAAAGAATCTTACTCAGTGATAGCTCGGGTTATTCACTATAGATCGCCACAATTAGGACAGCAAACGAAACTCCAGAGCCTGTGTTGTGGAGCACACCAGCCCGAAACCCTAAATCCTAAACGCTAAACCCCACATTTTGGGTAATGAGCTGGAGGCAGCGTTTGACTCGCCTTTGACTCCCCTTGTCCTCAATCCTCAAACCCATGGGCCCCCTTGTTCCCCTTTGCCGCAGGACATGTCAGAATCCATAATAACAGTAGAAGTGGCAATAATAAGCACAACAATTAGCAAGAATAACAGCGGCAATCATGACAATAACAATAGCAAATATAGTCATGTGGGACGGCGCGGTATGCGCCCAATTGCCGTTCACTGAAATGTCTGATCTAAGCTCTCCCAGGCATGGCTGGGTGCATGGGACATTATGCATGTGCAGCCCCGGCGCGTCAAGGCTTCACGCGTTTTCTCAGAGAAGGCGAGTCCTCCTTAGAGTCTTAGAGCACCGAGCTCGCAGAATCTGTGCACGATACACCCGTCTTGGAGGCAGTTGAAGGCCACACGCTGGCACTTTTGGCCGCGACGTACTCGTCAAACAACTTGAAGGAAAACTGCCACAAGAAATCATGGCGAACGTCACCCCTCAATCCCAACTGTGCCACGGCTGCCACAAGCTTGGGGCCCCTCTCACCTAGTTGCAGCTGTTGCGCGAACTGCCGAATCGTCATCGAAGCGTGCCCAGATACTCGTCTTCTCTTCATTTTGCACCTCTAGGCGGTATGGATTTCCCTCATCCCACAGAGCCATGACCTTAGCCATTTGCCAACCCTCATCCGTGCGAGCCTTGACAATGTCACCGAGCTTGAACCGCAGCTTGTCAACGTGCTTACAACTTTCGAAGCCAGCTTTCAGGACTGCCTTGTCAATGTCTCTGCCAATGAACACAAAGCGACATTCTCGCTTCTCGTTCGGTTCCCACCTATGCTCATCCGAAAAACTGCCAGCGAAGAGCATGTGCACTCCTTGGAACACGAACTTTCTTTCCTCTCCCTTTACTGCAAGCACACCCTTGTAACGGAAGAGGTTGGCAGCCTGGTCCACATCCCCAATGAGGCTGCCGATCCATCTCTGCAACCTGTGAACGTCAAGCTCGCCCTCAAACTGAAACGCTGCGCTGGACACGCTGTCATCGTGTTGGTGCTCTCCGTCTGTTTCGAGGAACTCAGGGTCAATCTCCAGTGCTCGGGTGAGGCTGAAGGCGTTCAGGTGCAGAAGTTGCTGGGGGTCTACCTTAGAGTACTGGCACCTGTGAATCTGCGCGGTCTTATTGATCGACTTGATGCGGGCCTCGATCTTTTCCTGGTCGATGGGATCGGTCACCAAATCCATTTTGTTCATCAAGATGCGATCTGCAAACGCCAGCTGCTCCACAGATTCATTCTCAACGCCCTCCGGCTTCTTCTCATCAAGGTGTTGCATGACATGCTTGGCGTCTACCACTGTGATGATACCATCCAGCCTGTACATCTCCTCCAGGTGCTTATAGGGGGGTTTACGTAGTAGTGGTATGGTATAGAGGCCTTAGATAATCCCTATCTAATGTATTCCCTACTAACCCCACCAAGTGTAGGGTTCCGGGCTGGGGTCCCCAGATCTCCTGGATCACGTCATCCACGAAGAACGTTTGGGCTACCGGCGCAGGATCTGCCAGCCCGGTGGTCTCGATGATGACTGCGTCAAACTGCTCCACCTGGGTTGCTATAGGGCTTTCAGGTCTAGGAGTTGAGGATTTAGGCTTGAGGTCTAAGGTTTGGGGATCCTAAACTGAGAGAGAGAGGTGTGTACATATAGATATGGATACATATGTCACATATGCATAGAGTGCAATGCAGGGGTTCAGACCCCATGGTGTTCTGATGATGACACCTAAATTCAGTCACCATAAGGCGTATATATCCGCAACTGCATTAAAGAAAGTATCCCCCTTTGTACCCCCTATAATATTCCGTTATATAACGCCCCCCAAGATAGCCCATTTCTACACCCAACCCTTTTTCAACCCTAAACCCGCGCAAACCCTAAACCCTAAAACCCTAAATCCTAAAGCCCTAAACCCCAAAATCCTGACCCGAAACCCTAAGCTAGTCCCATAACAGCTGCACAGAGATCCTTGTAATTACAATACTCCCCTATATTAGCCCTTATAATTCCATGGCCCTAAGCCCTAAACCTTAAACCTTAAACCTTAAACCCTAAACCCTAAACCCCATGCAACCCTAAACCCTAAACCCTAAACCCCAAACCCTAAGCCTTAAACCCTAAGCAGCACAGTCACCTTCTTGTGCAAGCGCTTCAAGGCTTCGACAAGGTCGCCGCGCACTGTGCAGCAGATGCAGCCATTCATGACCTTAGGGTTTAGGGTTTAGTTATGGTTTAGGGTTTGAGGTTTAGCGTTTAGGGGTCTGGGAGTTTGGGGGTGTGGGGGCCCTATCAAAAAGCACTAAACCAATTTTCTGGCCTTTGTGGCTGCATAGGGACTGAATGATGAGTAAGGGTAGCAAAATTGAAGAAACATCTTCAAACCTACTGCCCAGTCACCTCGATGACCTCCTCGGAAACGTTCTCTTGCTGCTTCACGATCTTATCATCCACACCCACTTCTCCGAACTCGTTCTCAATGATGGCGAACTTTAAACCGTGGGTCTGGTCTGAGAGGATGTGGTTCAGCAAGGTGGTCTTTCCACTGCCCAGGAATCCAGTAAGAACAGTGACGGGGACCAGGCCGTCATGCTTTCGCTTGCGCTCACCGCTCATTGCCTCTGAGGTGTACCTAGGACCTGTCAAGCACTACCTTCAGACTTCGGCAGAACTACTGGAGCAATCATTTTGCGAGAGGTTGATTCAACTGGCAGGATGATCTGAAGCCCACTCACCAAATCCTTCAAGAAGGGCGATATCAAATAGGTGCGCGCGGCAAGGCATATGAGCAGATTCAGTCACCGTGCTCTCTGGAAGTACCTCACTAGCGTCTGCCTGCCGCAACACTAGACCAACGTTTCTAGCACACCAGTTCTTTCCGCGCAAATTGCAGATGCCGGCCAAGTTCCAGAGACTAGAAACTACCATCTGCTTCTCGCCATGAACATAGTCTCTGCTCTCGCAGGACCAAGAAAACGTTCAGGCAACATGCCGTCCTGAATCTAATGCCTTAACAGAGCAATCCTGAATCTAAACACCACAGCACCAGTAAGCCTGGCAAGCTGCCACTGAGAGGATGCGTGATGCAAAACTTGGTGCTCTGCTTGAGGAATGATATCTTACATACAATCCCAGTTTCCACTTCACTTCCCCATATCTGTTCCATTTAGTTCTCCATTATTCCTCTCCACCTTCCCCCGATATAGCCACCATCTAACGCTTGTGTCAGTAGATGGGAAACCCAGCCTCTTTCCTCCTGGGCTTCGACCCTCTCCTGGAGGTCACGAGAATCCTGCATTCACCATGTTGCATGCCAGGCTTCTGAAGATTGGAGGCATGGGACCATCTCAAAATAGGGATACCTTACGGGGCATAAAGTTTGTTGGCCTTGTCTACTGCATGTGTTGAGGGAAAGAGTCAGTGGTGGCCTAGGTTGGCCCATAAGACCCATTGAAGAATATTAGTATATATGGTCCCCTATTAAAGCCATTAGGGAAAATATTCAATATCCCAGGGGCCTACCCAGTGGCGTGCGACCATAGGTTGGTCCGACAGTGCATTTAGGATTGACGGTAACTGCCCTCCCCTCAGACCTGTAGTAAAAAAATGTGTGTTTGATAATTCCTGGGTTCTTTGGGGGTATACTACAGTTCGAATTCAAAAATCCTAAGCGGATAGGAGGTAAGCCCATCACAAATATTTCGGGCTCAGAGGAGCCCAGGTCTGTTTCAGCTCATGATAGTGTTGCTGGCAAAGCCCTCCGCGTCGCTTGTCTTCTGTTATATGTTGCAAGGACCCGTATCATCAGCACCACCAAGATATGGCTCAGTGACCATAGATGCCTTCGGGCAGCACTCACTTCTTCTCGCAAGAAGATTCGGCATGACAAGTGTTAACAACTCCGACATACTGCACCAACCCCATTGGCCTTTTCAGACCCGTGCGAAGCAGCTCAAACAGGCTCAGATCAAGCGTAGCATATGTTGCAATGCCTGGTGCAGTAAGCGAATATCAGCAGGCATCGCCTGATCACAACGTCAGCAAGCCAAGCAGTCATGTGCTGATCCTACATTGCAAGACTGCGCAGAATGAGACTTCTCTCATTCGCTGCGTTCACATGAGCCGTAGTCTAAACTCCTAGTATCCCCCTTAACAACCCTTATAATACTCCCTATATAATCCCCTATATAGCCTCCCTTTAAGCAGTTTCACTATAGCTCAGATGCCAAATAATGCAAAGCTCAGGCAATGCCAGCCTCTCCTTGGAGTTGAAACAGAAAGTAAGATCCCCCGCTTTGTCCAGCACCCCACTTCCGTCCCTAAACCCTTAACCCTAGATGCAAAATCTTGGGTCCTGCCCCCACCCATGAACAGTCCATGATAGGAGTCAGATCAAAGGCTTTATTTTGTCATATTACTAATAACATCCAACTGTTAATGGGTGTGGCCAGTACCCAACCCAAATCCTCATCCTTAAAAACTAAACCCTAAATCCTCAACCCTAAACATTAGATCCTAAAGCCTGAACCCATGAAATGCGCGGAAAGGCCTCCTGCAAGACATCTATTTTCTGCTGCATGGACCTCAGGGACCGGGTATCCTCTTCTATGGGTTCTCTTCGCGTTTACGCTTTTGGGTAGCTGCGCATAAAAGAAAATACTTGTATATGTATATGTATATACATAAGTATAATTAAGGTCTAGGGTTTAAGGATTAGGGTTTTGAGTTTAAGGTTTAGGGTTTAGGGTTTAATCTCTTCCCCCGAGTGATAGGCCCCCGCCCCCCTATGAAAAATCCGTGCTGTGTGTTTCATTACGGGGGTGGGTAGGATTCTAAGGGGGAAGGAATTGGCAAGGGACCTGAACAAGTGAACAACAAGAATCATCTTGTTTGACACCAGTTAATTCGGCAATAAATGGAGCACACAAAACGTGGGTACTGCCCCCACACTGTAGCAGTCTATAATAGGGGTAATGTTAAGGGCTATGGATAGATATATATATATATAGATATAACTATATTAGAAAGAGTACCCAAATGTTATAGAATGAGGACAGTACCCAAATCATGCGGCCAAGAGACGCCAGCGTGGCATCCAGCTTCTCGTTGTGCTCGGAAAGGCCTCAGCCGTTGCTCTTGTACATGCAGCACCTCACCTAGAAACCTTGCTACCCGGAGCAATTTCAACTCCTATCAGGACGGAGATTTTCATTACCCCGGCCCCCACACGAAGGACCCCAGAACTTTCACATGACTAGCCCTAGTTTTGGGGGTTGGGATAACAAGAACCGTCTTATTAACCACCATTAAGAACACAAGAGAGATCTTGAAAAGCAGAGATTCGTTGGAACTCCTGTTTCAGGACGGCTTTTGCCTGGAATCCAAAAAAAAGTTTCACGAGGTCTCTATATCATTCCCAACCCTACACACACAACTCTAATCCAGTTTTCAGCCTCTACATCCTACAAGTTCTGGACCCAAGTTCCTACACACAGATCCCTATATTGAAAAAACCCAAATCTCCACACCCCAATCCGATATCCCTAAACGCAGAGCCGCCGAACTCCAAACGCTAAACTGTCATCCCGTCACCACATTTGGCAGTTTGTCAAGAAGAAGTGGACCGTGTGATTGTTATAGGGTTCGAACCCAAAAAAAGACCATGATTTTGACAACCATATCTCCCAAAATTTACCTATGTATCCCCAGCTACCCCCTGAATTACCCTGAAGGTCCAGTATTCTGACAACCTCCCATATCATCTCACGCTCACCCGACCTCCACTGCCTTCCGCTGCCACCAGACTCGAGCCAGCGTCGCGCCAGGCTTCAGCATCGCGCAGCCTATGCGGTTTAGGGTTTCATGCTTAGGGCTTATGATCTTCAACAAGGGGATAAGGTCAAGTTCAACTTGTTCTCGGCTATATTGAGAACAATGGTGAAAAGGAAAATGAGATTGAAACTTATTGGTATGGGCTGACAGGGATAGAGGACAAGGGGATTTGGTCAAGGCAACCCCTACTTTAGGAACGCAGAATCAAATCGAAATCAAAGTAGAAAATGAACTGGAAACTGGAATTATACAGAGGTTACATATTGGATCATATTGGAGAAGGGGATTTTGATTATCCCAACCCTCAAACTTAGACCCTATAACTGTCACTTGACGATAATAAGGTCTCAATTGTGGTGCTTGAGGTTACCCAAATCTTGAAGATTAATGCGATGCACTACTCAAAACTAGGGATATATCCTTGCTTATTATTGGGGTATAACCCTCGTTGTACCGAAGTAATATCCTTAATTTCGGCGACTTGGAAGGCCAGGGGGACTTAGGAAATGTTCATAATGGGGATAGCTGGATTTCTTGTATGTCTTATGCGGTTTTAAATTTTAAGCTTTAGCATGCCAGCTCGGTCCCACTGACTTGATGCCCGCGTGGAGTTTGTTTAGTGGGTTTATGGGCCCAGATGAGCACAGTTCTAAGTTAAGTCCAAATAGACCTCCAGCTTGGGCCAAGAGTTGAAGGGGCTGCAGCGTTTCATAAAAGAAGCTTGTGGGGATGTATGGGGTATCAGGGAAGCCCAAACCCTAAACCGTTTGGGGCCCAGGGTTGCGAGTTGAGGGTCTTGGCTTTCGGATTTTTTTGGTGTTTACCCTCGCCCTACACTTCAAGCTCCCGAAGATTTTGTTTTGGGAGTTTCCAAAAAGTAGGGGTACCTGTACAGGGGATTAGAGAAACATAGAGGACCCCAAACCATCAACCGCTGGACCCTCACCCCGGCCTCATAAACTCCCTAGACACTAAACCCTTTCGTCCAAACTTTGCAACCCTTCTTAGACCCAAAACCCTGCATCACAAGTTCTAGCAAAACTTCCACTTGATATTGCTAAGGTACTAGTCGGGTTACTATTCCCACTGACCATGTTTGATCTAGATTGCTTTCAAATATACATGATAATGCAAGCCGGATCGTTGTCAAAACTGAGGCCCCTTTTGAGGCACCCTAAATCTTAGAGGCTGCATTACAGTGCGAACCAAAAGGACCAAACTTTGACCACCCCCAAAACTCTGCAACAGCATGCCAGAATACCCATGAAGCCCTGAACCTTAAACTTACATTAATGTTGTTGGTGGGGAATGGAGGACCGGATCCCTATAGTAGGCCCTACTGCACAGTAATTCTCCTTCTCGCCTCCCTTTCCTCAAACTTACACCACGCCCTGAATGGTAGTTTCCATTTCCTTTTCCATTCCCGCGAACAACCACCTCAAACCCTTCCATTTTATTGTAAAGCATCTGATTCTCCATCATTGCCTACTTGCAACCCACAAGTAAACCCCTGACCCTAAATCCGACATATGCATGTATAACCCTCATAACCCTTTGAGAGGGTATACTGGATGTGAATACCTACCTATATACCGGGCCCTGAGCTCTGAATCCTAATCCCTGAGCCCTCATACTCATTTCTATACATCTATATGTATGCATGAAAATTTATATACAAACATACATACACATACACATACATACATACCTACCTGTAAGCGCCGATGTCTATTGAAGCAAGGTACGAATAATTGCATTAATGATGATAACCCTACATGTGATAC